CCTTCCAACCCCGACCGCTCTGTGAGTCTGTGGGAATTACTCAGCGTCACAGTGAGTTTCACAGTGCAAAGTGAACTTTGGAAGTGAAGGGAGCCGGTCCGTGTGCTGGAGCTCCCTCTGCTGCCGCCTAAAAAATCAGCAGGACTCAGCCTGAGGCATGTTCCTGCAGAACTGCATCCAAACCATTGAAATCAAATGGATTTGGAGTAATTTTTTAAAGCGAGCACGTTAAACGGCAGATAGTTAAGGTTCCCAGCTGCTGGAGAGATGAGACGATGTAATCCATGCTGACAGGAGTGAAAGCAGCTGCAGATGCTGCAATGGGGTAATAAAGGGATCAGCAAAGATTCCTCCTCTTGAAAGCTGCCCCTGCCGCCCTCATGAGTCGTTCGGTATGAACGGAGAAGTTTGAGTGGGAATCCACTCTCATCCGGTTGCCAATCCAGTCGCTTCTCGGGGCTCTGTTGTCCTTGTGGAATAAAGGGATTTACTCACCCTGGGCTCTGACTCTTTAGGACCTGCTAGTCGAGCGTTTAACCAGGAAAGCCTACGAGCTGCAAGAACAGGTTGCCCTGTTGGAAGCTCAGTTTGTGACCCAGGCGGAGGACACAAGAGTGACCCGGCAAGCAGTAAATGAGGTAGGAGGGTGCTTTTTTCACTTCTGGTTAATATTTCCCTCTGGAAGGTTTGACCCCTTCGGCTCACGCTCACGTGGTACGCACAGTGGAGGCCAGAGCTCTGTGGTTCGTTTCTGTTCGCAGGAACGAAGGCTTTTTTTTTCTGTAAATCACTTCCTTCCCCACCTCCTCAGCTTTTTTTTTTCTCGCAGATCTACGCTTTCTGGTCTGGTCTGACAATAAACCAGCCACCCATCAACTGGAGCTGTTCCTGCCCAGCACATCATGAACCGGCATAAATACTGCATTGTCATGTGAATTTGGTTTCTCAACCCAGTGTAAATTCATCCTGTCTACAAATTCTCTTTTCCTTAGGCTTGTATGGAGGTCCAGGCTATTAACATGGAGAAAAAGCGCTTGCTGAGCCACTGGAATAGCAGCTTAGCTGGAATGAAGCAGAGAGACGAGGCCTATGTTGCCACACAAGAGTTGCTGAGGTACGGCCTTTGAAAACAGTCCTAGGGGAGACCCCAAATAATTTGGGCAGGAGGGACTCTAAAAAAGGCAGCGTGTCTCCTGTCACATTCATTACTGCGTGTGCAGGGTATGTCAGACAGAACAAGTTTGCTGCGCTAAAGCACATAATAAGGTTAAAGGATAAGAAACACAGTTCTTCGTAACTATTTTCTTTATCCAAACACAACTCTCCCTCGAAACGTGTGGGTTTTTAAAAGCTGCTTGGAGTTCTATTCATATTTTATTCCTTTAAAAGAGTTCCCTCACCTTTGCAACATCTCTCAGTCCGAAGAGCTGGACAGCAAGGAGGATTTATCTGTCACTTTCGGTTAGGATTTTGTGATGGCTTTAGGAATTTCCAGGAAAACCTTCCTATTGTTGCCAGAGGGAGTGGCTGTTTGGTTTGGAGCCTTAAAGCTCGACTGATTCCCTGAGAACAAACAATATGCTTTTACAGGGTGGCATCCTGGTAAGAATGGGAGGGCGGGGACAGGAATGAGAGAGGGAATTAATTGTGCTACATATATTTCCTTTTAAATCTTAAAGTCTCCATCCATCTTCTGAAGACTCTGAACTGTTGCAGCAGACCAGCCTTTGTAGAGATCTTCCTTCTTGGTCAAATGCTGCAATGGTGTGTTTGAAAAGGGCATTTGTAGATGACCGGTCAGCACGTGGATCAGTCCCTGGGATAATTTTCCACCCTCTTTGCCTCTCCAGCAAGTACAGACATGACCTCAAGTCCCTAGAAATGGATATCCATGGCTGTAGGAAGTCCATCAGGAAGGAGGAGGAGAAGAATGAGTTGCTGGTCACCGTCCTGAGCCGTTCGCAGAACGATGCCAACACGACAAAGAAACTGCTTGCCCTGTGCCTTGAGAGGCAGGAGGCCTTGAAGGTTGGATTTAGCACCTACTCTCGTGTTCTCCATGAGACAGAGCAGGCCCTCAGCAGGACCAGGATGGTGAGGAGAGTTCCTTGGAAGAAGAATCCTTTTGAGTCGGACACAGGTATTTAACCCCTGTTCCCAGATACTTGTAGTGATCCTGTCTCTGTCTTCCCTACCTCTTAGGATCAAGCTGCTCGTCTGGACGAGTTGCTGTCCATCAGTAAGGATATAGAGAAGGGAACTGGTGCCAAAGAGCAGATGGAGAATGAAATCATGGCAAAGGTTCAGGACCAGATGATATCCAGCAAAGCCACAAAGCGCTTCTCCCAGCTGACTGCAAAACTTCACAGGAGAAAAACGGATCTGGTATGGTATCCCTGCCATTTGGGAGGGCAGGGGGGAGACTGTCTGGAGTAGTGCTTGTGGAGGCTGTTTTGTCCGTGCCTTCATTCCGGTTTTCAGGTCGGCACCTGGAGGTCCACTCAGTTTGCGACTCCAGCTTGGTTTTCCCAGCGATTTTATTGCAGGATTCTGGTGTGTGTGAGAGAGTTTGGCCAAAAAGGCCTGACACATAACATAAAATTCCTCCTTACCTAAAAAATAGGGCAGAATGATGAATCCTGGGTTTCCTGTAAATTATTACCAGTTCTTATGTACTGGGGGAAGACAGTGGGTATGTAACACTCCACACTAAGCTGTTATATCTACACTAGTCACAGAATGTGGCATACTCTGTTTCCAAGTAAGGATGATAGTCCATGGAACAGCCAGACGAGACCGACGGTTCTTGATGGCATGACAAATGGCTCTCTTCGTGAGTGTGTAACTGGTACAGGTAGAAAACTGGAAGATGCAGCATTCCGTGCCGAGTTGTGCAGGCTGGCTCCAGCACAGCGTGCTCACACCTCTTTTTCCACGGGTTCAGCCTGCCCCTGGGTTTTATAGATCAGGTAGATATTGTAAGTCACTGGAAGACTTCCAGGGTTGGCTTGCAGCGTGAGAAAGGCCCCTCCCTTTCTGACAGACACAGAAACAAGTGGATACTCTGCACTTGCTCCTGCGAGCATCTGTGTTGTACGGCAGAATATAGTGCAGAGACTAGGCACCCGAAACACACCGAAGTGTAACCTCCATCATGCGTAACGGTGACTTAAGAAGACAAATGACATTGCTCTGAACATCCCTCTCCCTTCCTCCTCCTTCCCCCAGCTTTATATGCCGAGCATGATGTCATATGGCCTGGAACACCCCTTGGGTCAGTTGGGGTCAGCTGTCCTGGCTGTGTCCCCTCCCAGCTCCTTGTGCCCCCCCGCCCATTTGCTGGTGGGAGGCAGAAAAGGCCTTGACTCTGGGCCAGCACTGCTCAGCAATGCCCAAAACACAGGGGTCAGTGTTATCGACGCTGTTCCCAAACCAGAGCCAAACCAGAGCCCCATCCCAACTACCGTGAAGAAAATTATCTCTATCCCTGCCAAAATCTGCACAGATGTTTAGGGTCCTCTTCAACAGCCTTATGGCAGAGGTGAATGTTGCTGTCCTCTCCGGTCAGTAGACGGAGAAACAAAGGTACAGGGAGGGTAAGCAGCTTCCTCCAGCTCAGCGCAGGGGCCTGGGGGCAGAATCTAAGCCCCCTGGTTCCTGTGCGGGGAGGGTGGGCGTTGCAGACCGGTGAGTTGCTGCTGGTGACAATGACTTCTTCTGTCTGTTGATATTCCCAGGAGCTGCATTTTTCCAAGGTTGAGAATGATATGGCCCAGGTTATTCTGAATGCAACACACACCACCTGCAGGCTGACAATTCTCCAAAAAACACTTTGTGAGCTGGACAAGGAAATGGCAACTGTCCACCATCTGATCAGCCAGGGTGAAAGGGAGATTGCGAAGTGCAGTGTCCTGTTGGAGAACAAGCAGAGGGTCATCAGCCAGTACAACAAGAGGCTGGAGGCGATTCTTTCTCAGAAGGGGGTATGTACCTTCAAGTTCCAATCCCAAACTTGGTTTTATGCTTCGTGGTGGCCGCCGATGCCCTTGACAGCCGTCGCTGCGTAAGTGCCGTGGAGTTAAACGTTTCAGGCATCGGTTTTGTGACTTAAAAGCTGTGCTGGTTGATGCAAATGCTGACATTTGTCCAACAGTTCTCAGTGCGTGTGAAGAGGAGCTGGGGGTAGGGAATTGTGAAAGGAGGGTGTGCCTGGCACAGCTTTCTGCAGGGAGTTGTCTACACCTGATGAAAGCGTTGAATGACATCAGTACTATGGGAGTAAATGGATCTTGTTATAAAACCTGCAAAGACTGACGAGGGGAGAAGGGAACAGGCAGAGCGACTGCAGGCGCATGGTGGTTGTCACCATTCCAATCCCAGATCCGTCCCTAACACCTCTAAGGGGACCAGTGTGGAAATGAGTTTGTTCCGTGGCATTAACTTTGCAACCTTTGGAAGGTCCAGGTCTGTGGTAAGAGCGCAGCAGGCCCTCTCGCCCCAGAGCCCGAGAACCTCTCGGGCTTCTGTCGTGTTTGTTCCTGCGCTGTCAGGAAGGATTAGTCCCCTTCGGCTGCTGGGAAATAACAGCATAGTTGGAGTTGGAGTGTTTAGTATTAAGCTGGACTGGCCTTAACTTGCAGTGTAAGTTGGCCTGTAAACAAGTGCTCCAGCAGCTTCTGCCTGATCAGAATCACAGAATGGTTTGGGTTGGAAGGGACCTTAAAGATCATTTAGTTCCAACCCCCCCTCACGGGCAGGGACACCTTCCATAGCCCAGGGTGCTCCAAGCCTCATCCAGCCTGGCCTTGGACACTCCCAGGGATGGGGCATCCACAGCTTCTCTGGGCAACCTGTCCCAGTGCTCCCCACCCTCTGCGGGAAGAATTCCTTCCTGATGTCCAATCTAAACCTCCCCACTTTCAATTTAAACCCATTACCCCTTGTCCTGTCACTACAGGCCCTTGTAAAAAGTCCCCCCCAGCTTCCTTGTAGCCCCTTCAGGTACTGGAAGGCTGTAATAAGATCTCCCTGGAGAAGGTTAATCCCAAACCTTGCCCTCCTACAGCAGCAAGAACTGAGCCCACTGGAAATGGAGATCAACAGGCTGAGCAAGCAGATAGAAGAATACAATTCTGAGGTGGTGGCACTGCAGAACTACTGGCTCCATCTGCAGAAAGAGCTGGTGAAGTTAACACACGAACGGGAGGAACAAGAAGCCTCCTTGGCTACGTTAAAGAGACAGATGACGGTAATGCAGCAGAAGAAGGTGCGCACTGAAAGTAAGTCATTCCCTGAGTCTGTCCTCAGATGTTCATCCATGAAGGGACAAAACAGGGAGCGAAGGCTTACAGGGGGTAGCACTAGACCTTGGCCAAGGCAGCGCTGCTTTGCACGCGGGAGCAGTAACGCGCACGGCCCCAGTACTATGCTCAGGGCTGAAAGCCGGGCGCTTTCTGCATGTTGTTACTTCCCGCAACGACCCATCCTGCTGCCCTAACTGACACCCTCGAACCCTGAGGGACCATGTCATGTTCTTAAGTAAAGTTTGCAAGTCGTCGGTAGGTAAATGCCCCCACTTTCCTTGGCCAAACCCAGCTCTTTTCCACAGCAGTCTCCTGCAAAATCTCCTTCTCCAGCACCTTGATTCTGGGGCTTGTGGAAAAAGGTTTTGGCTGGGTGTGTGGGACACGGGTGACTCTGCGTGTGCAGCGCTGTCTGGTCTAATAGCGGGGTGTCACACCTCCTCTGTGGTCAAGCCGGTGCTCCTGGGAATTTTAACGCCGCCTTCTCTTCACCTGCAGATGAAAAGGACCTCGAACGTCACATGAGGAACATGTCAAATGACTTGATTAAGCTGAATGTGTTGATCAACAAGAACAACAGCAGCTTCAAGGACCTGCAGTATGGCAACATGATCACAGAGAACGAGTTTGTACGCTCCCTCAAGGTGCGGAGGCTTGACATCTCATTCCCTGTGCAGGTCAGAGGCAAACAGTGATCCTGTGAATCTCTCTCACTCTGACAGTGTGGTGGTTTATGTCTCCCAAATCCAGGCAGCAGAAAAAGAGTCGGTGGAGTTGCAGGAGAAGCACAGTCAGTTGACTGAGGAGAAGGAGAGGCTCCTCAACAGCCTGGTGGAAGCAGAGTAGGTCCCAGAGATCCTTGTTTTCTGCCACAGTCTGAATTCTTGTACGTGTGTCCCTGTTTTACCTGCCTTCTCCAGTCATCAAACTGAACCAGCACCGGCAAATGTGCTTCTGTCCCTGGAGAAGAGGGAGGGGAGTTTAATGAATGTTTGAAAGGGCCTTCAGCTGTCTCTGGAGCCAGCAAGAGCGGAGAGGATGTTGGCTTTGGTTCCAGCATGCTTGAGCTGGGTGTTGCCAAGATCTGTGTGGGAGGACTCTGCGGTAGCTCGGAGCGAGTGTCCCGCTCTGGGGCGGTAACTGGGGTCCCTCAGCTCCGGTCGCTCTGGGCGTACGTGGTTTTACAGCCATCGTGCCATTCTCTAAATCGCAGAGCTTCCTGTCTGATTTCACCCCGCCCTGTTCTGCCCTTCCGTATGGCCCGTATGTAAATCTTCGTTTCTGCTGAGCCGTGTTGAGTGTCGATCTCGGGAGCGCGCTGCCGCGCAGCGAGAGCATCCTCTGTGTTGTGTGCCAAGGCGCCCCTTTCCCTTTCTGTCGCTGAAGGCATCAAATCATGCTGTGGGAGAAGAAGATCCAGCTGACGAGGGAGATGCGTGCCGCGATGGATTCCGAGACGGGACAAGGCGAGATCCAAGCCATGAGAACGGAGCTTCATAGGATGCAAGTAAGCCACGGGGAAGAGGCCTGGGGGGAGGGTTCAGCTTGGGAGCTGCTGAAAGGCAGGAGATGAGAAAGGGGCTGCAGAAGTAGCATCTTCAAGGTCCCAGCAGCACCGGTGCTGGAAATCCGACCACCCTGCAGCTGGATTGGATGAAATGCATCAGCGTGCAGTCGCCTCACACGTTCCTCGTGCGTGCCAGGCCTTGGGCTGCAGCAGAATATCTAGATATCCGTGAGAAACCTATGGAAAACACAGTATGTCTGCCACCTTGTTCTGTGACCCCAACAGATAAGCAACAAAATGTTGATTACTAAATACCAAGTCCAGAGGAGGCCACGGAGATGCTCCGAGGGCTGGAGCCCCTCTGCCATGGGGACAGGCTGGGAGAGTTGGGGGAGTTCAGCCTGGAGAAGGGAAGCTCCGGGGAGACCTTAGAGCCCCTTCCAGTGCCTGGGGGGCTACAAGGAAGCTGGGGGGGACTTTTCCCAAGGGCCTGTAGTGACAGGACAAGGGGTGACGGGTTTAAACAGAAAGAGGGAGATGGAGATGGGACATCAGGAAGGAATTCTTCCCGCAGAGGGTGGTGGGGAGCACTGGGACAGGTTGCCCAGAGAAGCTGTGGATGCCCCATCCCTGGGAGTGTCCAAGGCCAGGCTGGATGAGGCTTGGAGCAACCTGGGCTATGGAAGGTGTCGCTGCCCATGGCAGGGCGGGTGGAACTGGATGATCTCTGAGGTCCCTTCCAACCCAAACCATTCCATGATTCTATGATCATCTTAATCACTGGTTAGGGAAGTCTTGTGTCTTCTGGCGAAGCAACTCTTCCCTTTCATTCTCGGGATGCTCCTGCTTTTGCCGTTGCTAATGAGTTCCAGCGAAACCTTTTGAAGATGACTTTAGAGAGCGGGTACTCCAGCCCTCTGCCTGCCACACAGGGCAAACTCCGTTGGGATTTACAGCAAATCTGGCTTGCCAAGGCTCACGTGTGTCTGGGTTGTGTTGATGGGGTGTGCCACACGGAAGATGCCACTTGTAAACCTGTTGTTTTCAGCCCATTTTATATCTGACACATGGCAGGTCCGCTACGTCCAGCTGATGAAGCAGCAGGAGAAGATGATCCGTGACATGGAGGCATCTGTTTCTCGCAGAGAGGCGATAGCGACTCACGGAGGGGGTCAGAACAACACAGATCAGAAACGTGTCGCCAAGAGCGGCTTCCGCCGCAAGAGGCAGGAGCTGAGGAAGAAGATCAGCGAAGCCCAGAAGGTGAGCGAGTGGCGCAGGGCGGGAGGAGTTCGCGTAGCCGTATGGGCCTCGCGCTTCAACGCCTCGGGGGGTGTCGGTGCGCAGACCCCGCATCCGCTCAGGGATGGGCTTTGGGAGCTCCCGTCTTACTAAAAGACAGAGTTCTGGGAAGACGGATGGGAATGCAGCTGGAGTGTGCCATTTCCTTCTCTCCCGTTGACTAGAATGCTGAGGCCTGCACCAAAACCCTCCTGGAGCTGGAGAGCGCCCAGGCGTCCCTTAGCGCCTCCTTCTCCGAAAAGCAGCTGGCGTTGTGCCAACTGCAGGGTGAGTCCCACAGCCTCGATTCGGACGCAGAATGTCTTCGGGACAAGAAACGATGGGTGAGTGCATCCGCTTCCTTGCAAAACCTGCTGCTTTCTTCCGGTGCCGGCTGGCTCCCTGTCTCTTTGTCTCGCCACCCTCCCGAACTGGGCCTGCTTGGCACGGAACTTGAGGAATGCTGGAGGCTAGCTGAGCACGTTTTGAGGGCTCACGGCGGTCCTGGGTTGATTTGGTGCCATGACTGTACCTCTGCACGCCCCAGAGTGGGGCTGCTGCGTGGCTGCTCAGGCAGTGCCCTCCGGAAGAAGCCCTTCCCTTTAAATCACATCCTTTCCCGAGTCCTTTTCCCTGTGCAGCCTGCTCTCAAAGCCGTTTTGTTGCTTTCCTCAGAACCTTTTGGAGATTGTGGCCTACCAGACACGCCAGAAGCACCTGCAGGCACTGAAGGAAGGGAAGTACGCTCCCCTGTGCCGTACCGAGCAAGCCTGGAGAAAGGAGCAGCAGAAAGTGGAGGGCCGGCTCCGTACCATCAGCGCCATCGTCCACCAGCTCCAGCGGGAGCATCCCCAGCACCGTGGGGCTCTCCAGGGGCTCAGCCACTGCCTGGGTGCCAGGCTGGGCT